ACAAGTAAAAGGTTCTTGTTCAAGGAAAGCTATATATCACAGCTCTGTTTTATCTTTATATGGTATGTAAATTTTAAATCCTAAGATCCTCTCGTTTTCTTAACTCATTCACCCCTGAAGTTTCATAATGAACTATTCCAATCTTTGAATTGGAAGAGTTCAAATGTGTCTTTAGGGGTGAATGAGTTAAAGAACCATATTTGACTCATTCCATACCTTTTTGTCCTGCTGTGCTTTATTACAAGTCAGGAACTAAAGTGTTTAGTTTATCATGCCAGGAAATATTCCGTTGGCTTTGAATTGCTGTTACAATGGTCCCAGAACCGTGATCACTGAGGAGTTCTCCAGTTTACTGACTCCTGGCTTGTTGACGTCCCGTCATAACCCATGTATGATTGAAGGTATACTAATAGTCTGGTAAGGTTACTGGCCAACTAGGTCAGAGGTCACTGACTGTTAAATATGGGCCACTCTATCTAGTCCATAATTAGTACATAGACACATCACACAGTGTGGGGATATAGAATCGGGCAGTAGGGTTCACCACTGTGGCCTGATGGGTAATCTGGACAGTAGGGAGGGGGTCACCAGCTGTGAGCTGAGGGTCTGATAACACTTCATACAATGTACACAATCTCAAGTATTGTCACCTTAACAAAACATTAAGATAGAACTGAATATGATAATTTTCATAAATATTTAGAAAATGAAAGCATAATACTCATGTCCTGGGTTGTACAATAGCCGCCTCTTGATGATACACACAAAAATACTCGAATTTAGAAACATGTTTTGAAAAAAAATGATTCTGAAAATTTGTTTTATTTCCTCTTTATGCTAATGAGTTTCACTGAATTTTTGCTGGTCTGTATCATAGGGGATATCAGTCATACATATAAAATATGTAATATACAGAACTGTGGAATGTCTTACTCAGAGTATAAATATTTTTATCATCCTGACGAAAACAATCATTAGGATGCTATATATGGTTAAATAAAATTGAAAGGTTAGTTAACATTTAAAAGAGTTTCAGTTTATTGTTATTATTTTAGACATTGAAAAATAGAATATCGCTTAAAGTGAATATCAAACACCTGATAATCAAATTATTTAAAAGGAATAAAGTGATGTTTTGAGTTTAGAAATAGCTGTGAGTTTAATTTAAATGTGTTTATACTGTGTGCTATATATAGTACCTGATGATGGATCTGCGACAGTATATATATGGAAACTGTCGTTCTGTTGAACAATGCAGTTCAAAACAATTTGTTTATCAGCCTCAATTACTGGAGGTAGGGCTCCGAAATATAAAAGGATGTTTGTCAAGGAGGACAAAACTGTTAGATTGATTTAATTTGACCAGATGTTTACAAAAGGAAACTGTTGAAACTGTTTATATGACAGGATTGTTTCTAACATGCAGAAGGGTGAATATCGGACCTGCTGTTAGCTGTTGATATATTATCACATAATTGGCCGATTTAGAGTAAATGGCATAAACAACAAACTAGAACAGCTTTATGTTTTTTTCCTGGAGTCAGTACTTGAGTCGGCCAGTCTATAAATACTTGGTTGCTAAAATTTGCAGAATAATTATCAACAGATGGGGTACTGGTTTTCAGCTGACTTGGTCTAGAGCTGTGTCCCCTTCAGCTAATGATGGAATAGTTCAGATCACAGAATGGTTGAGTTTATGTTGGGTTTGTAGGGGGGTGGGGTTATGTATTTGTGGGAGGTTCCAGGACCTGAGGAGATTTAATGAAGATATGTACATTGCGCTGTAGGAACAAGGAATCCGGGGAGAATTTCATGTTTTTATGTCTCAAGGGGCCTCAACACCAGTCTATAGTACTAGTCTTCCTCATAGTGAGACGGCACAATAAAAATGTGTTCCTAGAGAGGCAGAGATGGGGGACTTTATCTTCAGTGAGCTGTGGGATCCCCAATAGATTCTTTTAAGTCGAATTTGAGACTGAATAAAAAGGAAATCACAGTTCAAGGGTTCTGCAGTCAAGTGTAAAATGTGACCGTTCATGATCTGCCTGTGTGTGTGTTAGGAGGGGGAGGGGGGATAACACAAAGCGGGTCAGCAGTAAATTACTTTTTCAATGCAGAGAACCTCAGTCTCTGCAATGTTATCAGGTCAAAGGTCAGCAAATTTAACCTTACAAAATAACAATGGAAAATTCATACAAATTTTCATAACATGTTGATTGATATGTATATTTTCTTTTACATCAATTTTGGTTGTACAGCAGTATTTTGATAAATTTATTCAAAAAATTCATACAAAATTTGAAGGAAACTTACCCCCCATTGTCAGGACAAAATGTCAGTAGTATCGAGGGTGTTGATCAGGGTAACGGAGAGGTCAGAAAGCTGTTAACCCTGTGTCCCTCTGGTTGGTTAACAAACCTTGTCACACCTGGACAGGTGTGTCCTTTCTACTGACCATTGTGGTCCAGTCCCTTGCACTCGGTCTGACACCTTGTAGGCTGAGCGATCCCCTATAGTCCACCTTTGTAGCCAGCCCAACCCATCATTATTCCCAAACCTAAGCATTCTACTGGGGGAAATGAGTCAAAATTTAAAAGTACAATAGAAAAAACTGTCAGGTCCTCTTTTCCATACCTGTCAGATATTTTAAGAAAGAAACTGAAACAAATTGTAAAGATAATGAAACTTTCAGTTTTTCAGTTTCGTTGCATCTGGGCATTTTATGATTGTAGCTGTGATCACTTGTGTAGGTGATACTGGTCAAATATCATCGTAACCAGTAACACTTGTATGAGATATCAATGATATTTTCAACATGAGGTCAAACAACTTGAGAAAATTCAGGCAATGAGATGATGACAAAGAAAGGAATTTCTCCCAAAACTTCACAGATGTATCTCGATAAAGAGAGAGGGCATTCATGTACGTTTATTCTGAAAAATGTCGCCACCTCGCCATAGGATCACAGGATCACCTCGTCATAGGATCACCTCGTCAGGTTTTGCACAAACATCTAACTTGTGTGATACTTATAGTAATTTTTAGCAATATGAAAGTATAGGAGAAAAGTGGTCACGCCAGTGTGATGAAGGCGGGAAATCTCGACCCTCAGGATAACATTATTGGGGTTCAGTACTCGGTAAACCCGGGGGCTGAACCTCAAACATCCTATCCTTCGATTGAGATTTCCCTGTTGTTAGTTCTGCCAATGGCTATAAATAATTTCAATTTTGGCAAGATTATTTTTTCACCATAAAATTATATACATATATATCAGAAAGTGGAATTCGGTTATGTTATAAGATGGGTAGTGCAATCTGATGTACTCGAAGTGCAAATGTGTCGGAACACGGTTTCCACACAGGGTAAATCACTCTGGTCGACAGATATCGTCTGTTTATAGATCTCGACAGCTGTTAACAGACACATCTGGCTGAAAATAAATACCTGTAAACATTCGGCTAAGATTCCCTGCCTCTTGTACTTAAGATGAGGGTTTAGTAAATTGAGGTTGCTGTATAAAAATAAATCGTCAGCTTGAGATTTCTTTTTCCAGACTGATACACTCAGAATTTACTCAGCATGTTGTAGAGATGGAATTCTGTAAGGTGTGATTGAGGATTTTGATGGACTATTCTGTGTAGTCGGTGCGCTATCAACACGTATTACCTTTCAGTCTGGAGGGAAATAGTTCGGAATATCACCATTATTGAATGGATGCGTTTATTGTTATGACTGAAAATATTTGATTTTTTTTTCTCAGTTTTGGTATTAATAAAATATCATCAACATCATTCAGTAAAATTTATGTATGTATTGGTGTCACTTTTACTGATTTCATTATTTGTGGAATAAGGTCAAATAACGAAGCAGTCGATACAGAATCTTTGTGTTCACCACAATCCACTGTAGTGGGAATTGAAACGCTGCCTGTAACATAAGATTCGAGTCGGGGGATAAGGTTTAAAGGAAGCACCACTATTACGTTGGATCTGCGAGTCGTTTTCCTCATTCCGTTACATATCTCATAGAGACAAATTTAGACAAATTTCTCGAGTGTGTTTTTGTTGTTGGAGGTTTGACTGGTATACGTACAGGAGGCTTTGTGGCCCACTGTGAGGGGAACGGCTGTATTGATTTCGTGGCTTGTATAGATCTAGGAGAAACCTTACTGAAATCAGATTATTGTTGTCATCCGTTCTCCTTGTAGCCAAATGTCTATCCAGGAATATTACTTGCTGCAAGCATTAATGCTTGCAATGAAAATTTACCTGACAATCATTTTTTCTTGGTGATGTTCAACAAATAACTTCATCTCCATTTGACATTTAAGTTAAGTTTTCTGTTTTTAGCTGTATTAACTTTTATTTTTTATTTAGATATTTCCAAATTAAAACTTATAATTACAATTCTATGTGTTTCATCAGGATAAGTTAGGGAAAATATGGTTTTGACGTGTTTGAAATTAAAAAATAATAATCACCAGTTACATTAGAACTTGGCTATGGCATTTAAATAACATTTGATTTTAGCAATGTTACTGTCAGTGTTGAAAAATAAGAATGAGTTGGTACTGATTTGAAAAAAAAACCATATAATTTTGACTCGGTATTCTGATTTTTAATACCGTTAGTGACAGTTTTGGTTTTTATGATGCTGAAGAGTCGCATGGAAACAGTATTGATTGGCTGGAAGTTGATTCCGATTGATTATCAAGAAAAGCACTTTCTCTGCATTCTTTGAATCAATTCAGTTCCGATTTACCACGGACGTACCGCCAAATAAATTCACAAGTGCCCAAGTCTACCAGAGGTTCTAATGGTAATGGAAAAGTCTTCACATTTCTGATTTGAAAAGGAAAAAAGATATTTTGGTGTGGGAGTCAATGTGCTTAGTGTTGTACTGTATGACTGTATCTGACAGTGAAGTTAATTAGGATAAAGCTTTGTACCTTATGTAACATTGATTCTGTATCTGACACCGCTCTCCTTCCATTACAGTTGGAACTCATCACAGACTTGCTCGGCACACCCTCTGTCGACGACATGAGGACGGCATGCGATGGCGCGAGGGCACATTTACGGAGACAGCCCCATAAACCGCCCTCACTGGCCGCCCTCTACACCCTGTCTAGCCAGGCCACACACGAAGCAGTACACCTCCTGTGTCGTATGTTAGTCTTCAACCCTGTAAGTGTATTAATTCAAACGTATAACCCAACAACATTGATCATGCTTATATCAGAAATTTAAACCTTAAACTCTTCTCAAATATAAACTGCAAGCTTCTCACTGCCTTACTTATGAAATTCAGAAAACTCAAAACATACAAATTGCATACCTGTGGGAAAAAAAGCTTAAAACAAAAGTCCATGATGACTATAAATCCTAACTTGTATTTAACAAACAAACAAAATTGTTCTCCCAGAAATAGGTTAAAAATTGTTGGAACAGGACATAATATGCATATGTGTTATATGCACTAAACATAAAGACTACATTCAAATTAAGACCTGATCAAGATTCTTCATGAATCTTGCATTTGAGGGTTCCTAAAATTCTTTATAGGAAAATACATTGAATTAAACATGGAATTATTAAATCCAGTTGTTCTCACCAGTCCTATTGAGAGCCCCTACCATGACAATAATGCTAAAAAGACACCAAATGTTACCTGTATTCAGTTCCTTTCCTCAAGGAGATTCAGGTATGTCTTCTCAGATTGATGATAAACTTAAAATCTAAAATCCAAGATTGATATTTTCTTCAAGCAGATCTCAGTTTCATTTTTTAAGTTTCTTTAAAAATACTTTATTAATAAGAACTTCATAAAATTTTACATTTGTTAAATAAATTGAAAAAAGGAGGAATGAGGATTGCTATGCTCATGATACACTGTCAGTTTGTCCCAATGTATAAAAAAGATAGCAAGCCTCAAAGTACCAAGAAAACTCTGGCCATGGTCATTTACAATAGTCGACGCAGGTCAATAAATAGAAAATTACATTTGAAGGGAGATAATCCAATTTCAGGTGATTAATTATTAAATGATTTGCTTTCTTGATTCTGTGGCGATCCATAAAGTTTTCGCTAGAAAAACACAAGGTTATTGTATTGTAAAATAGTTTCCAAAGGAATATTTACCTTTATGAGTTTAATGTATGTATCACAAAACTTGCATACTCGTTTGTTGCATAGATCAAACAACATACTGTAAGTATGGTTGACAGTAAGTATGGTTGACGCATACAATAAATTCAAATCTGAATTCAAATAGGAAACAACAAAAAAATTCTCACATAATCTTGAACCCAGTTTTTGACCATGGATGTGTTCTTTTGTTTACAGAAAAAACGAATCACGGCGGCGGACGCCCTTGCTCACCCGTACCTAGATGAGGGACGCCTACGTTATCACTCATGTATGTGTAAATGTTGTCTAAACACCAACTCCTCAGGGCGCCAGTATACCTCAGACTTCGAACCAGTCTGTCACCAGCCGTTCAGCTACACGTTCGAGGAAGGACTAACGTCCGTTAGAGTAGTCAAAGGTACGTATGTTCACCGTCACAAATGTGTAATATACAGAAAGCCCTCGTCATACTGCCACCATCTGTCCAGACAAAATCTGGGGTTAAAAAGGGTTGTGGTGTCATATTGAGGGAAAAGGAATAAAGGCATTATTTAATTAAGGAAAAATGAAATGAGGTAATTGAATTATGTTAGCAGTAAGCGAGGTGGCAAATGAAAGTAGGGACCTTATATCAAGGTTTTACTATATATAAACGAGGGCCATTATATCAAGAAATTACTGTATATATACAAGGGGTGTTATATCAAGGTTTTACTATATATAAACGAGGGACATTATATCCAGGTTTTACTATATATAAACGAGGGACACTATATCAAGGTTTTACTATATATAAACAAGGGCCATTATATCAAGAGTTTACTGTATATATACAAGGGGTGTTATATCTGGGTTTTACTGTATGTAAATGAGGGGCATAATCATATCTGTATGTATCATAAATCAATTTCTCAAACTTGTGCAAGAAACACAAAACAACTCTAGATAATATCAATTATACTGATGAGTATGATTGGATTCTTCGTATTTTCATAGGATCTACATTTCTTTTATCATAACTTGCTAGTTCTAATCACATGCATGATTTTTTTTCTTTCTAGAAAAATTACACAAGTTCATTCTAGAACAGCAGCAAGGCAATTCGGTGCCACTATGTCTCAACCCAAACTCCATATCATACAAAAGCTTTGCAAGGTAAGTAACTTCATCACGAGGTGGATAATTTCATCACTGTAAACAGCAAAAATTTCACCCGGAAAACAATTTTGTCGACTAGGATTTTGAAAAAGTTTTTTTTGTTCATTATACCCATGAATGTGTTCGGGAACTACATGACTACATTTTAACAATTTTTGTCTCTGTGTTGAATTCTCATTCTTGTTCAAGGCAAAAGTAAGAAGGGTGCAAATTTGCTGCTTTACAACTTTTCAATTGCAATCATATGTTGGTTCGGTCTTAAAAAATTCTGTATGTTTCAGTGCTCATTGCTCGAGAATTGTAGGATAGGTCAGTAGGTATGAGTTCTTGTATTTTCCCCTCACTACCAATTTTTTAGTGAAAATCCAAGTTCTTCTGAAACAGAAATAATTTGTTTTAGGTTCTATACCTTTGTTTTGAAAAAAATATTATAGATTTTATCCAACAAATTTTATGTAATATTCAATGTTTCTGATTTTTCAGAGAATTGACTTTAAAGAGGAATTTTCGGTTGTCATCCAACTGACCTATTTAGGTGACCTTTGACCTCTTTACCCCCCATACCCACTTACTTTTCCTTGGGCTCTTAAATAGACCTTGTGAATAATTTGAAAATGAAACAAAACTTTCAAAAACTCTTTCTACAGAAGGTTTTGTCGAGCAAATACATTTTTGACTGAAATTGTGCTATTTTCACAGGGGGGGGGGGAACAGAATTTTTATTGGTATTTATAAAACAAGTGAAACCACCTAGGACTTACATAGTAACAAAACAAAAATTTGTTTGTTTATGTGTGTGTTGATTTTAATTTGGTTTTTTGCACAATTTTATTTCATCTATTTTTAAAGATCATTATTTTTGCAATTCAATGCATTCACATTCAATCCACAGGAAATTGTGATATAAAGCTTAATTCAAGTTTCATTTTATTTATATTTTAACAAATGCTTAACATGGGGAGAATTTGTTTAAATACTTATTTTGTGATTATTGTTGGGCAGTACCTTTGATCCTGATGATTGACTTTCTGTTTAACCTCTGTAGGGATCCACTTTCTGACCGAGACAACGTGAAGAGGGGCCACTGACCTGTAAAAGTGAGATATTTCCGTCTTGCCGCCCATCATTAAGATATTCATCCTCTGGGCATGCCCAGTGCACACTGGAACCCATGAAGGGGTCGCTCTGTACATCCTCCCGTTCTAACATTTTACCAGTCTGAGATCTGCAATATAAACTAGATATTACGTTGAAAGCAGTTGACAAGAATATTTTTGCTTTTTCATACTTTTCCTTTGCATGCTTGTTTATGTTATATGCACTGCCTGCTCTTTTGAATTGCTTAAAACTTTATATTGAAATGGATTTTATACAAACAAACTTTCTATTTTATTATATACAATATTTCAGATTATCTAAGCACATTCTGGTGTCTTTATCATACTTTGATCAACATACCTTGTAAACATTGGTTAGATTTTGTGTGTTGAGCTGATTCCATTAACTCATTCACCCCTGAAATTTCATAATGAACTATTCCAACCTTTGAATTGGAGGAGTTCAAATGTGTCTTCAGGGGTCAATGAGTTAAAGTTTGTACTGAGCGACCCTTCAATAACCTTATAACCCCTGTCTTGTGTGCACAGGGCCCTGTCCGAGGCGGAATATCAGTCGGTTTATTTTTGCGTGCTGCCCCGATTCTTTGAGCTTTGTAATGTCGAGTTGATCCCACTGACCGTTGTTTTGTGTGTAGTGGTATATGGATGTTCAGTGATTAACTTCGGTGGGAAAATATTGGTTTGGTCAATCAGCACTGTAGAGTGAAGGAATGGAAACTCAGCCCAGATTTCTGAAAAATATAATATTAATATAGCAGCACTATCAAATAATTAATATTATTCATTTAGCTAATGAAGATTTTCTAGACTTCATTTCTTAATGTAGAAGCGTAATAGATTCTGGTGAAACCTGCAATGACGGAATTATGATATATTCTTGTTTTTTTTGTCTTTAAAAGCTCATTATTTTGTCTGGGTTTTTTGTTCCTGTTCTTAATTTAACTTGTTTGCTGATTTTTTCTCTGTTTTGTTTTGTGGCCCATTTTCATTCTGTCATTCCTGAAATTGATTTGACCATTTTTTTTATAACATGGGCGGTAAGAGTGATCTCCCTTACACTGTTGCCCCTCTTCCTCCTCAGTGACTGTCGTGACTTCCTGTTTGTAGAATGATTTTACTTAAGTATTTGTGATGTCCAGTTTTGTGTTTTATGCATTTCATTTATAGACAAATATGTTATTTTCATTTTTTTGTTACAATTCACCGGCATACAAAGGTTTCTTGTTCAAGCCTTTTTATACCGGTTTAACACTTTCAAATATAAGTCATTTTTAATCATTGTAACATTAACTTAAGTCTAAATTTAGATTAACATTATAACCTTCTTCTTTTTTTCGTCTTGCATAGATTTTTTTATGCTTGACTGACTGGTAATACTTGAATAGTGGTTGTTTAGATTTACTTTATTTTAATTCAATTGGGTGGTCGGGTGGCGCAGTGGATAGCGCACTCGCCCCTCCGCGTGCTAACATCCAGGCCAACAAAAGTGATTAATTAAAGTTAAAATAACTTGTTCCATAATTGTTGTAAAATCAGTGAAAGTTATATTTATATTAAGATTTGATTTTTGTCTTTAATCAATTTAAAATTAAATCTGAAAGGAATTTTTTTTTGACAAAATATTTATATATAAAAAAAAAATGGCCCATTTATCAAGCCAATTTAGCATGAAACTTGCCTTAATTTCTTCTCTCTGAGTGGAGAATAGAGGCGTGAACAAAGCATGAAATCAAGGTGTCTGAATTACCTGGCTCCACATGCTTGTAATCCTGGAAGTATTAATATCCTCGGCAGATTATTCATATTAAATATTAACACATCTGTATTAATACTAAATATAAATTGATACATATGTGATAGTATTAGTACTGCTACAGGATATTAATCCTACAATTTGTGTATTACAAGTGTGTGAAGGAAATTCTGAACAATGGGTGAGGATGGTTAATCTAAATGTAGAGGAAACAACCACATTTGTGATATTTATTAGTAACTCATTCACCCCTGAAATTTCATAATGAACTATTCCAACCTTTGAATTGGAAGAGTCCAACTGTGGTTTTAGGGGTGAATGAGTTAAATGGTAGAAAATACAAATAATCTCGAATGTGTCCACATCGGTGTTATTAAACTGCCCGTCTGACGTAGAATTGTGTTTGTATTTTCCAGTTCACAAGTGGCACAGCCATCAGAACTCCCACCTTCTCCTCACGCCTGGGACTAGCCTCAGCCTCCTCATCTGTATCATCTTCATCATCATCATCATCACTTCAGCCAGGACCAAAGTATGAATGATTCATTCTACCCATTGTTGGATGTACAAATGTGTTGGTTGACCTGGAGCTCAACACTTCAGCCAATGAACTCCACTCATCCACATCTCAGTTAGATAGTTAGATTATAAAGATTTTGGTGCTCACAGATTATAAAACTTGTGTGTATAAATATTGTTGTATAATAATTGGACGAAATGTCAGTTTTGTCTTAAGCTGTAATAACACTGTTTGACAGTGAAAACATTCATACTGTATAACAGTTCTGTGTCGTTTAAACTCCGGATTGATATGTGATGGTAGGTTTCACCTAGTTACCACTGAAACCGTCAAAATGTTCCACTTCTTCCAAAAAATTAAAAGATTGAGAGAAATCTTAATTCATTCATTAGAATCATTGGCAAAAAATGTACACCCAGGGTGTTTCTTCCAGTTAGAATCTTTAAAAGAAAATTGTGGAAAAATAACAGTACTGTCAAACAAATGCTCAATATTTTGCAACGAATATTGATCTGTACAGCTCTGTTAGAACACATCTTTATAGAACGAAGTACCGGGTAGTTAAGTATACATAACATGTCGCACCTGTCCATATACAATCTTCTGATTGTTTATATTTTTCAAAAACAAAAGATTATCACCCCATATTATATCTGGGGTTATCTCCCTTTGTCAATTTCAAGTACAACCTACCGTCACATAGCTACCTGGTGAAAGATCTCAACCCAGTCAGGCTTCAACTCTTATACGGGCACAATTTTCTGCTTTCATGAAGTTACTAAAAAGTTCATGAAACTTTTGTTTCTAAAAATATTCTGTTCTGAAAAATTCAAGAAAACTTGATGATTTTATCTCAACAATTGACTTTTATTTTTGTTGGAAGCTATTAACAAAAAGTAGAAGGTTAAGTTTCAATTATTTAAAACGTGACCAGTTTAGGGAAAAACCTAGAGTGGTGGGCCATTTTTAGCAATTTTCAGTAAATATCAAAATTAAGAAGGGCCATTCTATGTTAAATTGGGGGGGAAAAAAATCGAACATGGTGGGGTCAATTTCAGTTTTGAGGGGTCAAGGGCCCTGCCAGCCTTCTCTATGTACCCCCTAGCTGAGTAGAAGTCGGACTGGATTTTATTTATCGTATTAATTAGGGTGACTCACATATCAGTGGAGAAATCTCCACCAGTTTGTAATGTATGGTTAGAGATTTGTCTCCCCTTGTTCTAGTGTAGAGTGGGGGATTGTCTCCCCTTGTGCCAGTGTAGAGCGGGGGATTGTCTCCCCTTATGCTAGTGATGAGCGGGGGGGATTGTCTCCCCTTGTTCTAGTGTAGAGCGGGGGATAGTCTCTCCTTGTTCTAGTGTAGAGCGGGGGATTGTCTCCCCTTGTTCTAGTGTAGAGCAGGGGAAAGTCTCTCCTTGTTCTAGTGTAGAGCGGGGGGAATGTCGTCCCTTGTTCTAGTGTAGAGCGGGGGAATGTCGTCCCTTGTTCTAGTGTAGAGCGGGGGATAGTCTCTCCTTGTTCTAGTGTAGAGCGGGGGATTGTCTCCCCTTGTTCTAGTGTAGAGCGGGGGATTGTCTCCCCTTGTTCTAGTGATAAGCGGGGGGATTGTCTCCCCTTGTTCTAGTGTAGAGCGGGTGATGGACCACGTACGAAGATCTGTGGAGTATGTGTTAAGTGCATTCAACAGCCGTTTGTTCCTTACAATGAATGAGCCATACCTCGGTGCCAGGCGATGGTATGTAACTCAGCAGAGACTCATCCTGTGAATGAATGAATATTTCCAATTATTACGACATGAAGAAGGACTGACTCAGCGCGTCTGGAGATGTGTCGTTGGTGGGATTGTGCCAGTAACTTGTATAAACCCATGTTTTGTAAAATCATACAGACTTTTTGAATGTCGTCTGTCTTGTATTTCGGCAGATGAGGAAAGTTTTTTTCGCCAGATGTGTGTGGAGTCGACGGGGATTATTTATATACAGAATTTGTCAAGATACACATTTCCCAGTTCAAAGCTCTGAAATGTTTATGGCAGAATATTGTGAAAAGTGTGATGTAAATTATGGACTGTAGTCAGAGGCCACTTGCCTGTTGACAAGATAGGTTGTGTGTTAGTTGGAGTTGCTAAATGTTTCAGCTGCTTTGTACAAATGGAAACCTCGGTCGATGTCATTGCGTGTGAGCTCTATGCGACTCGGTACCAGTGTAGCCTCCTCGTAAGATATTTGTGGTGATCGGCATGGTGACATCATTGGTGTGTAGCAGAGGTCAGGAATCTCATCACAATGGTTTGTCCTAGTCAGCCATTTTTACTTTCCCCGTGTTTGCTGCAAATGGTGAATTCTTACCAAGATCTCGCTAGATCAAAATATATATAGGTCCAAGATTTTTTTTTTTTTTTATGTTTTACTCTTAGCAACTTTTTAATTCCAAATCTTATTATTACTTGAAATATTTAAATGAACCAATCATCCCCACGTTTTCAAGGTGGAATGTTCCATTACATTCAGTCTGGTCATTCCAAAGAGGACAACAGGGTTGGAAGTGTTATTAGAAATACACAACACAATCTTGTTATGTCGTTTAAATTACACAACACGAACCTTGTCATGTCTTTCATGACATGATCAGATTTATCGTGGCCTGACCGAAATCATGACATTTAAGTCTTATGAACAGCGCTGTATACCATGTATGATATTATTTTACTGGAATGTGATATGTTACGAATCTATTTATAGAAACTTGCTTGAGCAAATGATAAAATCATGACCAATGGAAACCTTTAACAAAACGCCAAGCATTGTCGGTAAATGTAATAAGTTGGGGCATGGTAGGTACGTTGTTGTGGTTTCTAGTCCCAGTTTGTAAACATTCCTCAACTTCGAAGAAATTCTTGACTTTATCTTTCCATGGGAAAGTAAAACATAGCTGGAGTAAGGGAAATGAATTTCTGTAAGTTAAGGAATGTCAGGAAACTGGATCGCGGACACTACAGTAAAGAAACCAGTGTTTGGGACACTTTTCCGGTGTGTCTTGTCCGTACCGTAATGATCCTGATTTAATTGTCGAGGCTTTCCCTAACGGTGTTGTGTTATACCGATTACAGTCCTCGCCTAATGATCTCACGTTGATGGAAATGTATAGCTCACTTTTTATTATTACTATTCCTTCTTTTTCATCCATGATATGTCGTTTATTTTATTTCTTATTTGTGTTTGACTAATGTATTCTTAATGATGAGAATGTATACAATAATACCTTACTTATTATTTTTTGTCCAAGTGTGTATGTTATAATGATATGTGGTTTGCAAATGTACATATTGATTAGAAAAAATCAAAAACAGGAAGGTGATTCCAACTCTCAATTCTTTAACTCGTTCACCCCTGAAATTTCATAATGAACTATTCCAACCTTTGAATTGGAGGAGTTCACATGTGTCTTCAGGGGTGAATGAGTTAACTAACAGTTTTATATATTTATTATTTTCTTCCAATCAGACAATATATGCATGTCGGAAATATCCAGTGTGTTTTAAAAATGCCTGTGCTCTAAGCCATTATGTGTAGCATGCATTTTTTTCATTTCTATAAAAACTGGTACACAAAAGCAGCAACTGCATTAAGTGTTCTACGGTTGTCGCTTGAAAAGATGTAAATACTAGGTATTGAAATACGTAATTTGATGATAAGTATCCATGCTTTGGTTGTATTTTACATAGTACATCAACTTCGGTATTCAAGAAAGAAAATGTCCATGTTCTTTGGACAGTAAGCATCTTCTAACACCATATTATATGCCAGTATTTTTTTAGCGTGAGAAACAAATCTTTCTTGTTTAACAAGTAGACCTTTTTCTTTCCATGAATAGAGATGAAAGTAATGATTTCTTACTTTCTGCTTTCTGTATGTCAGAACATCTCAGGGAAAATGTACTGCAAACTGTCGCCCCAACAGGCCTCTCCACACCCACACCACAGTATCAAACTAGGAATAGCGATATTTTATTGTACATTTTTATGTTCTTTAAGAACGATCAGCTGCGAGGGTTACCTCGTTTGTAGATGGTTGGTTTATCGGTATGAATGCTGCCAGTATCCTATGCATTATAATACCACTTCCTTGGTCTAAATGGTAATGTCTACATCCATATTTTTACATTTCTACCCCGATTATGTGTTGGTACCCAGCCGTCTTACACGGTGGTAGTGTGTTATTTGTACTCGGTAAATGGTTGTACAATTGAGTGTTCTTATACTGCAGGAGTTACATGTTTTAAAAAGATAATCAAAGTTTTTGTACATTCAATATTTCGTCTTTGTTTAGAAGGAGATTTTTTGCCAGTTCATCAGGGTTCCAATGAAATTTGCCCAATCACATGCATTTAATTGTGTATAGTTGCCATGACAACAACCTATTGTTGAGTTTCACTTAGCATGACCAACCATCGACCAATTGGTGAACCACCAATGAATCAGCCGGCTCTCGGAGCAGATGTAAGTGGCTGTTCCGTTAATACCTCGTCACTTCAGCGGCGAGTGATTTTGATGGAAAGCATGTTGGTGGTTAACGGAACAGCCAATTAAAGAGCTGTTTGAGCCGGCAGTTCTTGTTAACTTTTTAGGATGTTTTTTTTTACACACGGGTGCATTCCATATAGCTGGTAACGCACTGCCCTTTTGCCAGAAAAGTAAACTACACAATGATGTCGTTCAATATACATTATCTTTTTTGTTGGTTTTTTTCCCCTGGTACTTTTATAACACAAGAAATATATGTTTGTTTCTATATCAAATATGTGTGTGTTTCTGTGTTTATAGCGACCGGTAGATTTTAATTTATTCCATAGTTGTGTTTGTATGTTGGTGTAAGATGTTTTTGTCATTGCAATCCTTTTGATCGAGTGTACGCTTGACCTTGTGAAACGCCAAACCCTATACACTACAAATGTGGTGCAAATTATAAAAGGAAATCCCATCTCTGAAAGCTGTTAATTCAAGTTACCCTTCTTTCATTAATTCTGATATTCAGCACAGATATGAACAATGATATGCTCTATTGGCCATTTCAGATATGGGATTTTTCTGTAGAACTCGCTGGAGAATACGAAGTTAGTGAAGAGTTCATTATGAGATCAAATGACAAAGGTTCAAAGAAAAGTGACAATGTAAAGAAAGGGTGTAGCATTTTCAAATACAAAATTTAGATAGCGTTTTGTCCGAGTCACTACCACATTGTTTCGTGTTCAGGGGAGACAACTCTTAGTCTCGGCAACATTGAGACAATATATATATATACATACACATACCTATATATTATTAACAGTTGTACAGTTTTTATGTAAATGAGCAAAGGTCATTCCACAAATCAATGTGTACAAAGTCTTGTAAATCTGATATTTTTGTCAATGGAATGTTTCTAAATATGCGTGTTTGTACAGTGTCGGGTTTAATGACTTGGTGAGTTTGTGTTTGCATGAAGAGAAACAGGCTTTGGCGTCCAATTCCTTACAATGATGTTCCCCAAAAAATAAACTGCAGTCAACTTGCACCAAGTTATATATAGATAATGGTGCTTCTATTACAGATCAAATTAAACATGGAAAATTTCATTAAAAAAAAATTCAGGGCCAAGAGGTTGAAAGACTGACAAACTAAATTATAAAAAAAAATATTAATGAAGTATACTTTTAAAAGATCAGGTTTAGAACTAAAAATTCTATATGTAGGATTTCAGAATGACAATCTGGAGGAAAGAAAAATAAAAGTTATGTAAATTTTCAGATATTTCTCCAAAACTGATTTTTGAAAATTTTGCATTGATGTCTCCTTAAGACTTCAAGTAAATACTGAATATTCATTAGAACATCTCAGGAATTGGAAACCATGCCTAGGGGTAAATGATGGTGTTATATATATATGGTGATATAGTGTAGATACAGGGGAGGTAACTCTCCCAATGTTTAGACAAAGCTTTGATGTCGGTGTGAACATTATATTGAATGTGTTTACTATTTGTGTAAGGGCAGGTAACTCTGACCTTTCCGACAAATCCCATCCATTCTCCATGTAGTGAGAACAACACGGCCACAGGTCTAGTAATCTCAAAATTATTTGGTGTTGCAAAAATGTTATGATCATTAATATTTTCCTTTTTTCCTCTTACATGTACTTGAATGGCCGATCTGGTCTATTAGCGTGTGCAATTTTTGTATCAGATGTATATATATAAATATGAACAGTAGTTGATATAAAGTGTCCCCGTTACAGTGTAAAAGTTTATCAGACTTTTTAACTTGCCCCTTTAAAGTTGTCCATATTATTGTTCAAATTCAACAAAATGAATACATTTTATCCAGGTCAAAAGCAATATGAATTTGACTGAAGCTTTGGGTAGTAGTGGGGGATATTTTGGCGGGATGTATTTTCCGCGTCTGTGTTTTAGTTCCCCATTGTACACGTGACATTCAGTGCCTTCCGTTCGTACCTCAGGTCCTGTACACTTGTTCCGTTGGCAAGTTTTAAAACCCAAACTTTTACCCAAAAATCTGTTGACTATTTTTTTTTTTTTTTTTTTTTCCGATGACCAACAAAAAATCTATTTCTTCACTCCTGTGGATCTGCATGGTCAATGTCTGTAGAAATTGTCAGTGTTTTTTTGTCGCATTAATTAGCCAAAATTGATCGGCTAATAGTATACCTATTAATGAATATATTGTCATTAAAAGACAAATTTTTTTTATCAAATTTTTTAAAACAAAGCAAGAGGGAAGTTGTTAGCTTGTTTGGTTGAAGATATTTGTTTTGTTTCTTGCTAGCTGGACACCGTTACGCAGGTTCTCCCAATGTCGAGCCTTAATTTCCTTGTATCCGTGTGTTAGGATGACCGTTGTCTTTAAAATGATATCTGATGTTTCACTGCAAGTTGTTTCAAACAACAGCCAGTGTTGGTAGCTGTTTGGAGCAGTGACACCCTGTGCCATACAGGTGTAGGGTTTCACCAGACAGTAACCTCTGTATGTGAACTTTGACCAGGGTTCACCTTTGACCTATTGACCCCTGTGGCCTTTGAATTATTATCTTGCCAGAGGTATGCAATGGGTTAGAAGGTTGTGTGGGTGAATTTATTTTGGCTGTACAAACTGCCGCCCCGCCCCCTGGGGTTGTAGGCCCGGGGGTCGGGGTTATTTATTGTTTGTCCAGGTCTGCCTAGTTGTATTGCTATATATGATATGTCTATATTTAGATACGGTAGAACCCTAGCTTTTGTTATGTTTTGCACAGAATTTGCAAGTGAAGTGTCAGAAAGAGACAAATTGTGTATGTGATGTCTATTTACATGTATTTATGAACGAAGTAAACTTTAATAAATGGACTAAAACCTGAAAAATAAACTTACACAAGACTTCTTTTGTTTTTGTCTCGCCGCCAGAAGTAGCGGTAGCGTGACTTAGGTGTTGCTTTTCTGGCGATAGCGGCGTCAACGTTAAGTTTTTGCGTTTAAGTAAGTTTCACTGAAAGTATAAGTTTAAGACCAGCCAAACCGGGCTATATATGCATCTTAGGTAGTACATCTCAACCCATGCATCAAATGCTGGATGCAGCCTACCTTTCATGGTCCATTGACTTTGTCAGCGTCTCCATCAACATTAGGTATTTGTTTTTCATTCAGTTTCTCTGAAACTATAAGTGCTACACCAACCAAGCTTGACATGTGCATTGATGGTTAAAAGCGGGGCACAGGCGAGACATCAATCTGAATGGCTTGTTTTGAAAATTAACTCTTTTTGATGTCTACGTTGACCTGTTAAACTATTTCATTTTTAGGTCGCCACCTAAGTACAGATGACCAATGGTGTTTACCTTACGTCTGTTATAATGTTGTTCTTCAACAATTATACTCATTTTAACTTCTCCGATTCTTTGTCAAGTTATAATGACACTTGGTAAGAATCGGTCTGTGGTGAGGATCAGAAGCTATAATAAAAATGGGGGATCTCGAGGTATACTTTAAAGGACATCTCTGAAACTTACTGGGGGATTTTGACCAACTTTCACCAACTATTGGGTCTTCTCAAGGCGGTGGCTTTTCACCAACTATTAGCCTTTCTCGGGATGTTATTTAAAAAACGTCATTAAAACTTACTGAGGGATTTTGACCCACTTTCACCAACTGTAAGCTGTTCTCGAGGTGGTGGATTTTCACCTATAGCAATGAGTTCTCAGGGTGTACTTCAAAAGACACCTCTGAAATGTACCAGTGGACTTTCGCCAACGTTCCGTAAAATGAGACTGAAAATCTAAATCTATATTTGAAAAAATAGTAGCATACCTCCTGGGGCAGAGCTGTAAGTGGTCACACATAGTCCAAAACATTGAAACACGTTTCATTATTTTTCTTGATTTGAATGGGATGGAAATAGTCCGAGTTTCCTCTCGCCCTGATACCAGACACCAGATCTGTCAAAATGTCAAAGGCTAGTGTCAGGGCCGGGACAAAGGCTAGTGTCAGGGCCGGGACAAAGGCTAGTGACAGGGCCGGGACAAAGGCTAGTGTCAGGGCCGGGACAAAGGCTAGTGTCAGGGCCGGGAAACTCGGGCTAGGATGGAAACAACATTTGAATTATGTTGCAATCTACTGAAGTGCACAATCTTTCCGATGGCACCTCTTGAAGGTATTTCGTTCAGGATCATGTCAATGTATGAAATGCCTAAAATGGTTGGAAGTATTACCCCTGAAGTATATATTTCTCTCTACCTCCAACTACCTTTTATTTCCTAACGCCTCGCTTGGCAACATTTTAATGTTGAACGTTCGCCAAGGTGATGAAGGCAATGAGTACTGTTCCCGGGCAGGGACAAACCAACGTCATTAAAATGGTAGTAGTTATTCCCTGCTTAACGGTCAGCATTTGGGGAAATGACAACAACTGGTTCATCCGTTGTCAGTATGATGTGACCGGGCGGAATGCTGTGCTGGGTGCCTTCGGCATGGTATTTCAGTGAGATAGCTCTATAAAGTCAGATCCGCGCTATCACAAGGAGGCAAGTACACCGGTATTCCCTGCCTCCGGCACTTATACACACACGCAAGCACGCTTACACAACACACATGGAGACACGTCCTTAAATGACTATAGCTGTTAATAGGACGTTAAACAAAATGAAACCAAACCAAAATATCCATAAAGTCACTTTTATCAATAAAACTAAAAGAAATGCTTCAAATTTACAAAAGAATGGCATGTAATTTACATTAGAAAATGGACACAATTAATCACGAAGCTAACAAGGCCGAGTGTAAGAGCCAAGCCAGACGACCAGAGAGAGAACCAAATCATACAGCATTGCCTTTATATACCTTCAGTCGGCCTTGTTAACTTTGTGCAACAGTGTGATTATATCCAATTGAAATACATGTCATTATTCTGGATATTACAGTTTTTCTATAATAGATAGGACATGAAACTGAAGAAGTAAACGAACATGCAATGCTGTGAACACAAAAATTATGTGTTCAAATGTCACTTTTCAGACAAAAACAACACTATTTTTAACCATTTACTTCACCAATATTTCATATTGTTCTTTATAATTGATAGCCATGTTTCTTCCACCATTCTATATTCTGAGGGAAAATAATCGGCTCACAACAAATCTTCAACACTCATTAGCGCTGATGAAATACGAAAAAATACAAATATTTCATGCATGTTTCGGACTAAGGGAGTTAACTCCTATACTAACTATCTCCTAGCAAATATTTGTGTTTGTTGTGACTTTGAAGGGCCTGGGCGTTATCTCCCCTTTTCGGTGTGTGATCGGTACTGACTTGACCGGTTGTTACACAGGAGGAGCTGAAAATGTGCAAAATCTGTTGATTTGTGGGAGACTCTTGGTAAAAGTTTCTATTTTCTTCTTCAAATATTTAGTTGTATATAAAACAACAAAATAAAAGAGTACTTGGTCACATGCACCCGGGAAATCACCACTGTTGCCACGGTTCTAACATCAAAAACGAAACAGAAATCATAAAAAAATGAATAATGAATAAAACACTAGAAAAAACAAACAAATAAAAGTATGTAAAAACGAAAAAAAAATATTTTGAGATTAGATGATAACTTGTTCACGTAGACGCCTTGTTCTAAACAGCACTTATTATGATAAAATCATTAAAAAATGTCTTCAAGATTAATATTATTTATGAAAATGTCATGTTAATTTACCTTAAATTTATGAATGTATCAATTTAACAATGGAAGTTAGGGAAATTGAGTCTATGACCTTGGGTCAAATGTTGCTGCATCCGTGAGGACCTTAGGCCACAGGGACCTGGGAATTTGTTACAGATACATTTTACCAGTTTTAGGGGTCTGGATCAACATTTGGTTGATATTTATCATCATTGGGGTGGCATTTTTACCGAATGTTAATCTAAACCCCTAAAACTTGCAAAATTACACTGAACAACTGAGTTTAGGTCCAAATGTAGCTGTAACAAATTATCAGGTCTCCGTGCCCAAGTCACGGTCTAGTGAAGGCTTTTCAATAAACAGTCATGCGACACCCCCCGTCAAAATAAAAATCCGACGAAAAGTGAAACAGTACAGAAGATTACGATGTTACTTGAAGAAGTTTTTTCTTTCCGCAAGGAGGCAGTACCTAACAACACAGTGACGTAACGTGCCGTTACCATGGAGAAAAGCAACGAAATTACGGGAGTTTTTATACGCAAACATTTGGATATCAAAGATGGCGGTGTTCAGTCCGCAATATCCGTTAGAAACAAACGTTTGACAGCGGTACCAATGAGACTGAAATGGCTGCACAGGTGTGTATTCTTATATTTAAATTATATCCTCGTTTCAAAAGTAGCCATCGTCGATTTTTGTATGAATTTTACCGCCGATGCAGCTTTCACTCAAGTTATTCCGGTGATAAATAACCAAAAGTAAAATTTCAACTTCGAAATATGATTATATGTTACGTCATTTATCGTTTTCAATGTCAATTTTAATATATACATATCATTGTGATACTGTTCCGTTATATCAGCACAGAGTACGCGAAAGAGGACGTTGCAGTATTCACAGATAGATAGATAAGACTTAAGTTTGACGTCCATTTTGGGTATCCGGCAAGCTAAACTTTCAAATTAACCTATTTTACTATTTAACTCGATTAAATGAGTTCTATGAATAGAAACACGTGCTGGTGATACCAAAGAAATACATAAGTATAAGCTAACTTAAGGTAACTTTTTTGTTTCATCATAGTAAAAATTTGGTGTTTAGAAACTAAATCGGAAATGTTAATAATTGTCTTTAACAAATTTTGGGTACACTCGCGTAGCATAATCTGGTATTTGTGATCACAGGGACATGATAATTTGTCACAGCTCTATTTGGAACTAATGTGGTAAGAGTAATTTTACACGTTTTAGGGGTTTAGATCATATACGCATCATTGGGGGTGGCATTTTTACCGAAAGATGATTTAAACCCAAAAAAAACATATAAAACTACTCTGAACACCAAAGTTTAGGTCCAAATATAGCTTTAACAAATTCGCATGACCCTGTATGCGTGATCACAAACGATCAGAAACGACAGCGTATGAGGGAGGCCAGTATAAACTTTAACGCCATTTATTTGACATTTCTGTTTCAGCATCAAAGGGTCTCGTGTTATTCATCAAAACGGCCACGTCACAGTGGTCATTTCAGCAGCTGGACCAAACGGACAAACAGGCTGACCCGCCAGAGGGGATGGTTCAGCACAGAGACACGACCCAGGGATCATGTTACGGAGAGAATCAGAAATGAGGAGGTTTTAACGTTTTTGAAACAAATAGTATATTGTTTGCACAGGGGCCAATCATTTTATGACTGTTGAAAGTATTGTACAACTTACACAGGGTTTTGACTTTGTGGCGGAAAAGAGAACAATGTAAATAGCGTGAAAAAGTTGTTTCAACTATTTACTTTGATGTCAAATTTGTTTCATAAAATATACGGAAAACCCGTAAAACTGTGATATCATTTTCATAAGGTAAAAAATCATTTCCAAAGTACATGACGTAAGGCTACCAAGTCAGCATTTGAGCATTCTTGTGTTTACATATATTTCGTACTTTTTTTAATGAAGCGACAAAGAATGCTTTCTAGATCGATAAAAAAAATCGTATTGTATTGCAATTTTATTTTACATATTTCAGTCACGACCTCCAATCGAAAGAAAAATCCAGTCTGCTCCCATCGAGGAAGCGTGGGTGAGTGGCCTGTTCGATGGACAATTCAATCTTTTGTCAAGTTTTGGCCACGGACAAAATTCGAAATATGAAATTCGAAAGGCGACAGCAGTTTCGAATGACAATCTGCCGAAGAAAACTCGAGCGTGTATACATGGAGCCACATGTGACGATACAAATTTAATTTCAAGATTTAAGAATTTCAACGAACCGGAAGTCCAAGATTGGATCCAGCGCGAAGAATCTCGGAAACGGAAGTACGGAAAGGTGATGATGAAGCCTGGTGGTCCCGGAGTGAGCGTTTCGTTAGACGGACCAACATTCAGCCGTGCCAAAAAATCTACCAAGAAAGAACCCTCCAAAAGAGCAGCATTTCTGTCATGGAAACGCCAGGCCACCACCACGACTGTGTTCCTACGCCGGGACTACCAGGACAAGGCCACCACCACGACTGTGTTCCTACGCCGGGACTACCAGGACAAGTTTCTTACCACTTTTCCGATAATGGACCTCGTGGAACCCACTTGGCCGACCAATGTAACATTCCCTCCTGTCAGGAAGGTTGATAACTTGCCTGAAGACTTAGCTTCCAGGACGGTCGACTCTTTGCCTTTAGACACATCCATTAGCGCGGTTGACCATTTGCCTGTTGACACAAACGCCAGGACGCTTGACCCCTTGCTTGCAGAAACACCCATTAGCACGGTTGACCATTTATCTGTAGATTTCCTTCCCAGAAATCTAAAACCCTTGCCTGAAGACACGCCCTTAACGAAGGCCCAGCCCATGTCAGTAGACTTTCTCCTCAAGAGGACTGACCCATTGTCCGCACACTCTCTCGTTAGGACGTTTGAACCATCCTTTGTTGCCCACCTCATCAGTGAAGCTCATGTTTCATCTGAAGCCATTCCCTACAAGAAAATTAACATCGTATCTAGAGGAGTGAAGAAAGGAGACGTGCCGGGAGAGACCAGCTCCACAGAGCGTGGATGGCCCTCCACTTACCACAATGATATACTGGACCAACCAGTAAAACACGAGTGCTTTGTCCGATATTGGTACGGGGATAGGAGACCTATCTACAGTCCAGTCGGGTCAGTCACCTTCAGGAGGAGTGTAACGTAACGACTTTAGAGAAACCTCTTTAGTCCGGACATTTTCGTGTGTGTGAACAGTGGAACCTCATATCGACGTGTGCCCTAACTTTTGTTTGAGTGTACAGTAGAACCTATTTTTTCCTACCATTATTGCTTGTGTGTACGGTAGAACCTCTTCAGTCCAAACAATTATGATTTCGTGTTCACTAAAATTTCGTCAGTCCGGACACTTTTTGTTTGTGTGTAATGCAGAACCTCTTTAGTCTGGACACTTTAGTTTGTGTACATTAGAACCTCATCAGTCCGAACATTGTCGTTTTTGTGTACAGTAAAACCTATTTAGTCCGGACATTTTTGTTTCTGTGTATACAGTAAAACCTTTTTAGTTCGAACACTATTGTTTGTGTGTACAATAGAACCTCTTTAGTCTGAACTTTATTGTTTGTGTGTACAGTAAAACCTCTTTAGTCTGAACGTTATTGTTTTTGTGTACAGTAGAACCTTTTTAGTCTGAACATTATTGTTTTTGTGTACAGTAGAACCTCTTTAGTCTGAACATTATTGTTTTTGTGTACAGTAAAACCTCTTTAGTCTGAACTTTATTGTTTTTGTGTACAGTAGAACCTCTTTAGCTGAACATTATTGTTTTTGTGTACAGTAGAACCTCTTTAGTCTGAACATTATTGTTTTTGTGTACAGTAGAACCTCTTTAGTCTGAACATTATTGTTTTTGTGTACAGTAGAACCTCTTTAGTCTGAACATTATTGTTTTTGTGTACAGTAGAACCTCTTTAGTCTGAACATTATTGTTTTTGTGTACAGTAGAACCTCTTTAGTCTGAACATTATTGTTTTTGTGTACAGTAGAACCTCTTTAGTCTGAACATTATTGTTTTTGTGTACAGTAGAACCTCTTTAGTCTGAACTTTATTGTTTTTGTGTACAGTAAAACCTCTTTAGTCTGAACATTATTGTTTTTGTGTACAGTAGAACCTTGTTTGTGCGGTACTTTGGTTTTAATCCGTAATTTCGAAGAAGTAGGATTTTTTTTTTTTTTTTTTTTTTTAAACGTAGGTTTTGATAATACGCAGTTTTTGAAGGTTTACATTGCATATATATACACTGGTTTTTTTGTAAAAAAAATTTACAACGTAATTACTTTTAGTAAGTAATTTTACCCGCTGTGTTTTTATGCATCGGTTAAATTTACTGTTTACATTTATATATATATTTGATGACGCCAACTTTACTAGTTGTCTGTATATTTTTATATATTTACTTTTTGTAAAATGTTATATAATAAATAAAGACGGATGATAATCCTGTTAGTATATTGTCTTGTGTTTTACAGAGAGAAAAAAAACCCACAAACGATCCTAGAAGTATCTTTGTGCCCATCATGAAAGGATCTTAATTAGATCTACAAAAGATGATAATTTACCTTCTTTGCTCTGCATTTTTCTTACAAATACCATTACTGAGTCCCATGTTAGAAATCCGAAACAGGAATCTTGTACATAAACTTAAACCTCGTAATGTCATACGTTATTTGCCCCTATGATAAATTTTATTGTATAAAAATTGCATATAAGTTTATGCAAAATGCTACAAATTTATAATCCTTACATAATAAGGAATGCTGTCGATGACGGATGAATTCTCATTAGGACCAAAAGGGGCATCGGTGTTACCAAGGGGACCAATGGGAACATGCTTATCAAGTTGTGATAACAAACTAGAGCTGTCAACATTCAAGATGGCTGTCTGGTGGCTTTCCTGTTTTTTTTCGATTATTCCCAAAAAATCAATGTGAATGAGTAGAGCCTATCGGGAACCTTAATGTGAAATAACAGAAATAGCGCAAACAAACTTCAACTCTCAAAATTCAAAATGACCGTTTGTCAGTCATTTTACCCCCTGATCAGTCCCAAAGTGCGACATGCGTAGACAAGTGACCATGGGCGACTGAGGAGGTGGGGTCTGTAGCAATCGGCGAACAGGGAGCAAGGACCAGAAAATCCTCCCTGCAAGGACAGACATGTGAGCTAAATGGTGGAGGTTGGAGCTCATCCGATTATCGTTTCTCTTTGATCTGTAACCGTTAATCCGCACCAGTGATGGCTGACAGGGTATCACTGATGCAAGCCGTGCAGAGGTTCAGTTTTCAGTTCAGTTTCTTTTATTTCCGAGAGCCATCCGACTCATAGGTTAAATGTCAAACAATAACAATTACGTATTTAAATTAATAAGTGGATAGTGAGCTTACAAAGTACACAGGTAGTTTTCCATATCAGACATTGATTTCTCTACGTTTTCTCGTAGCACAATATAAATACTTTACTAGATCACATTATTCTTTTACATTATAAGTACTCAATAATTTCGTTAACTTAAAAACATAAGGAATTCTGTGATAGAATCGCTTGATATATTAACATCTCATGTCTTGATATAATGGACATTTTAGGATGAAGTGAAATTCATCTTCTATATCACCAGAAGCACAACATTGTTCCGTCTACCCACTTTAATATTTAAATAATGGGACGACAATCTAAGACATGTAATAAATATACAATAAATAAATATACAACATTTGATATAGCGCCCTATCTAGCTAACATAAGCCACTCTAAAGCGCTTTACAGTACATAGATATACAGGTTTATACAGTCAATAGAATTAGCATATATATATATATATATTAAGTAATACAATATTGAGGAATTCGCACGAGCTGCCTTATCAGGCGCTTACTACTAGTCCTATGCCACCTGGCTAATATCTCCCTATGTGTGTATGCCTATGTGTGTGTGTGTGTGCTGGAGATGTACTGTAATAAGGCGTATGCTTTTGTTCTATAGATTTACATAAGTAAAATTGAGATGTTAATCACCTTTAGATGACCTTGTAGAGACAAATTTTCTCTGGGGACAAAGAATCACTTAGACAGGGTAAGGACAGCTGGAGGAACAACACTTCATTGTGAACCTTGTAGATATCATTGTAGTCTAGAGAAGGATGGTACATTTTGTATCTATTTTGTATACCTTCAAGTCGTCCATTTTGGATCAGTCTCATACTTGGGAAATGAAGATAAGAATTCAGTTTCCGGATATTTTGGAAACAACAGTTAGGCCTAACATTGTAATATGGCAGGTTGTAGGTCAGATACATAAATGTAGATACCCACGTACTATTGGAGGAAGGCAGTAAGATTGTGTGATTTCTACTTTATTGCGAATCTTGTAGATATCATTGTAGTCTATAGAGAAGGATGGTACATTTTGTATTTATTTTGTGAAACAAGCGGGAAAATCCACAGGAAAACCTTGAAGTCGTCCATTTTGGATCGGTCTCAAACTTGGGAGATGAAGATAAGAATTCAGTTTCCGGATAGTGGTAGGACGCCGGGCTCGTGACCGAAGGGTTGGGGTTCGAGTCACGGCACGGCACGGCACTGTGTTGTATCTTTGAGCAAGATACTTTACTCCGTTTGTTCAAGTCTACTCAGCTGTAAATGAGTACGTGGTTGGGCAGTGCTAGAATTGTTGAATGCTAGCTGTGAGCGCCGAAATGGCAGCCCCGGCTATATGCTCCCCAGGGAGTTGTGAAAGATATTGGCTGGTTGCTCTATAACCACGGATAATAATTTGGGAACCGCTTTGAGACGAACTAGAAACAAGGTTGTGATAAAACCTCGATTTTTTATTATTATAATTAATTTTATTGTAATATGGCAAGTTATAGGTCTGATACATACATGTAGATATCCTCGTACTATTGGAGGAAGGCTGTGAGGAAACCCTGAACAGGAAGAACCTAACTATGATTAGTTAATGGAAAATACTCTTTTTCAGTAGGGGTCGGTCGTAAAGGATTCGTCGCACAATTGGTATAGAAGGCACCGCGTTCAATAGTATCTCAGTCGGAGAGACGTAGCTAGTCAACAGAGACCTCTGTACGCCGAGCTGTAGAGAGAGAGCACCATGCTTGATGTAGCACCGACGAGAGGTTTCTAATTAATGAAAACTGCCACAGAAGAACAAAGGTTCGACTACTACTAGTAATGACCCAACAGCAGTAAGATTGTGTGATTTAGGGCCGAGACAATTGAGACGGCGGGTCATCACATTGTTGGCGTCATATGAGGCTTCGTGACAACACTTCTTGTGTGTAATATTCCGTCTTTTCGTATTGCAGAGTTATCTGCTCTTGTGAGCAGGCATTGATTGTTACGTCATTTGTTTGTGAGAGTAACGTCATATTTTTTTGAGAAAACGACGTAATTTTCTCATACAAACTAATGACGTAACAATCAATACCTGCTCACAAGAGTAGATAACTCTGCAATACGCAAAGACGGAATAGGTGGCGCAGTGGATAGCGCACCACCTTTCATCAAGACGGTCAAGGTTCAATTCCCTGATCCGAAGTGAAAAGTTAGAGGTTATAGGGTTGTTTCTGGGTACTCCGGGATCCGGTTCCCTCCCACATGAAGACCTTCTGCGCGCTACCATCCGGACCAACAGGAGTGGTAAAACAAAAAAATATGTAACTTGTTTCATACTGTTTGAAATAAATTAACTTTACACATGTATTTTAAAGCTTTTCAACAAGCGTTAACTAGACTTCATCATGGTGTGTTTCTATGTCATATTATCACTTTATACAAGATCAAACTACTCCTCTTGTGACCTGAACCTAATAGAATTAGAAGCAAGATCTGATCTGAGGAAACTTGAAGTTTGGTCCAAAGAGTGGATGATGTCATTCGACCCCATCAAAACTGAGGCCCTTATCATCTCAAATCTGCAGCTTCCATTTGTCCCATCGTTTAACTTTGATGGTACTCCCATCAAGGTTACTAACCAACATAAACACTTAGGTGTTATTATTTCTAACGACTGTAAATGGAACTCACATGTTGATTACATAGTTAGTAAAATAACAAAATATATTGCAACCCTTCGTAAGCTCAAACTTTTCTTAAAAAGGAACAACTTAGAGAAGTTATTTTTAATCTGTATTAGACCACTTCTTGAATATGCACGTGAGGTTTGTGGCAACTGCGGTGAAACTAACTCCCTTACACTTGAGAAAATTCAACTAGAAGCTGCTAGAATTGTCACTGGATTGCCTATTTACGCGACAAAAAGAAATGTTATATCGGGAAACTGGGTGGTTAGCCCTCGCAAAAAGAAGAGATGCTCGGAAACTTTCTCTATTTTATTCTATTGTTAACAATAAGGCACCAAATTTTCTTATTGACTTGTTGCCAGATTATATTGGAAATATGGTCTCACATAATTTACGAGGAGCTCACCTGCTGAGAGAACAACAGTTTCGTTTACACTCCTCAAAACAATCTTTCTTTCCCTCTGCAACGAATCTTTGGAACAACCTGAATAACGATATCAGAAATTCACCCTCATTAAATTCGTTCAAGTCAAATATTAAAAAGTCCTTGTTGGTGAACAGTAATTCGAGTAAGAAATTGGTTAAATATGAATCTAGGAAATTGAATATTCTCACCGTCGTCTAAGAAACCGAGTTATAAGCCCACTCAACTTTGATTTTTCATTAGCCAACCTAACAGATTCAGCAGAGTGTCGATGTGGGCATCCCTGCGAAGATTCTTATCATTTTTTTTCCTTTTTCGTCCCCTATATGAGAACTTACGTAGAATATTATAAACATATCTAGCATGGTATGCTGGTGCTTACTCTGTAATGGCGACGCTATTAATTCTTCAGATGATAATAATAAAATTGCTAAATCAGTACAACATTTTCTAGGTAGGTCGAGAAGATTTGATTAATTTTCTGTTTCTCTATGTATACCGCCCCCACCCCCACCCCACCCCCGAATCCTCGATTTCACTGTGATATGTTTCATCAATTTGTTTGTTTCTTATGTATATTATCTTTCATGCCATCATTGTAAATATGTTATGTATGTTATTCGGAGAAGTCATCTATAATTTGGAAAAACTTGCCGACTAATCCTATTGCCATATTATACGTCAATAAAATATGTTTAAATTATCATGCGGTGGCTATTATCATCTCCCCCC